TTTATAATTTTGTCTCTAAAAGCATGACATATGTCACTTATGTGTGTATTTTTTTTATTAAAAAATACTAACAATTATAATCAATTGGACCAAATTGAGAGAAATTCATGATCAAAATCGAATGAATTCAAATTACAGAAACGAAAGTGACACAAGGATAAAAATATTAGGACTATCAGCGTAATTTGCCCTAAAAATATTTTTTAAATACAATTTAACTACTTTCACTTTTTACATTATATTTCAATACAAACTGGCATAAATAAATTAAAAATAAATCAAAACTCACAAATAAAAGTCAAAATGCCTCAATCATTTATCATTTTGATAAAATTATCAGTATTATTACCAATAACAAAGGATCATTCCATAATTTTAAAACAAATCTTAAAAAATTCAAAATTTTCTCATTATCAAAATGAGAGGAAAATACGTAAAAAAATATACTCAGAATTTCTGCGTTAATTAGTTTAGTGAGCAAGACTGCCGATAATTATTCCACTTGATACTAAATAAACCAATTTAAATTATTTATGGTTAATTTTTTTTGAAAAATGTGATTCCATTTGGCTTTATTTTAGCTTTTAAAATAAATATTAAACATAAGGTAGTGTTTGATAACTTAATTCAATACTTAAAATTAAATGTATGATACTTGATAACTATAATTAGTATTACTTAACCATTTTAAATAATAGGCTAAAAATAAATAAAATTTTAAGTAATATAAAAATTTTTAAATATTGACTAAATTTATAAATATTTATATATAGAGTCGACACACACTACTATGACCACACCATCACTGTCATCACCCCCACCACTACCACCACTACTATGACCTCACTATCACTGCCATCACCACCACCACTGTTACCGCCATCACCATTGTCATCGTTATAGCCGCCACTACTATTACCACCACTATTACAATAACTATTATAAAATTTCACCTCCACAATCATTGTCACCATTGCTATAATCACCACCATCATTAACACCACTATGGACCCCTTTTTACCTCCATATTGTCGGTCCACAATCACTACAACCACTATCCCTTTACTTCCACCACCATTTTCATTGGTGGTGGCTCCACGGTCTCAACATCCCAATATAAAAGTTATCAGATACAATTTAAAAATAATAAATTTTAAAATGTGATATTGTACCTATCAAATGATTTATTTTGATTTAACAGTTAATTTTTTATCAAATAATATTTAAATTAAAAAAAAAATCATCATTCAAGATCAATATTAGTTTTCAGATTTCAAAGTTCAAATTTATTATACAGTAGGAAGTAGTCTCACACTAACGAAAGTCTCAAGTAGGCAATAAGGTTAGATCATTGTGATGTTCACCTAATTTATTTGGGTCACTCAGGCCATAAATTTATTTTTTAATTTTTTGGGTAATCAAGTTCTAATTTTTTGGCAGTTAAAAGGACATAATTTGTCCAAAAAGATAAACTATCTATTGAAATCAACCTATCTGTCTATCTCTTGAAATCAATCTATCTGTTAAAATCAACATATCTCTCTAGCTGAACTAGCTCTTGAAATTCGTCAAACTAACTATCTATTGAAATGTGATACATGTCACTAATTCAACAACCTATCTGCTGAAATGTGACACATGCCACTTATTCAACACCTTATCTGTTGAATATCATACATTTCTCTACTTCACAATCACCACTTACTATCGTCGGTCACCGACGACTTTTTCAGCTACTTTTTCAGCCAATTTTTCAGAAACTTTTTTTGGCGCCGACAACTTTTCCAACATGTCCTTATTACTAAATAAGATTTTATCTTGGATCTAATTCTTTATACCATTTTGAAATGGACTTTTCATCAATTTTCGCATTTATTTGTTGCCGTCCACCATGGCATTTTATTTCCCAAGAACACACTATCTAAAATGATACTACAATAAACTCAATGTTTTCTAATTGAGTTAATTTAAGAGTTATTTACAAACCTCCAAAATTATTGAAAAATATCATTTTTGACTCCAAAACTATACAAGCATATAAATGGACTACCTAAATTATTAAAAAGTATCACTTTACCATCTAAACTATAAAAGCTAGAGGTGCTTACGAACCTAACCAATCCGCTAAAACCGATCGACCCGTCCTAATCCACCTACTTTTTAAGTGGTTTTGATGGTATGGGCTAACAAATGCAAATGGAGAGTTTTCAAATTCGCCTATGTTCGGATGGATCGTAGATGAGAGGCCACCCGCTCCAACCCAATCTGCCAACTCCTCTTAAGAAAATGATGTTAAGTTTTTAAGCTTTTGTGTGTTAAAATTATACCCATTATTGGATAATTGAGACTCCATTATCAGAATAATGCAAAGTAATAATTGTAGGGCACAGACTGTATATATTGAGTATATCAGAATAAGTTATATCTATACTTAGTTACTTAGTTACAATTATACCCATTATTGGATAATTGAGACTCCATTATCAGAATAATGCAAAGTAATAATTGTAGGGCACAGACTGTATATATTGAGTATATCAGAATAAGTTATATCTATACTTAGTTACTTAGTTACAATTATACCCATTATTGGATAATTGAGACTCCATTATCAGAATAATGCAAAGTAATAATTGTAGGGCACAGACTGTATATATTGAGTATATCAGAATAAGTTATATCTATACTTAGTTACTTAGTTACAATTATACCCATTATTGGATAATTGAGACTCCATTATCAGAATAATGCAAAGTAATAATTGTAGGGCACAGACTGTATATATTGAGTATATCAGAATAAGTTATATCTATACTTAGTTACTTAGTTACAATTATACCCATTATTGGATAATTGAGACTCCATTATCAGAATAATGCAAAGTAATAATTGTAGGGCACAGACTGTATATATTGAGTATATCAGAATAAGTTATATCTATACTTAGTTACTTAGTTACAATTATACCCATTATTGGATAATTGAGACTCCATTATCAGAATAATGCAAAGTAATAATTGTAGGGCACAGACTGTATATATTGAGTATATCAGAATAAGTTATATCTATACTTAGTTACTTAGTTACAATTATACCCATTATTGGATAATTGAGACTCCATTATCAGAATAATGCAAAGTAATAATTGTAGGGCACAGACTGTATATATTGAGTATATCAGAATAAGTTATATCTATACTTAGTTACTTAGTTACAATTATACCCATTATTGGATAATTGAGACTCCATTATCAGAATAATGCAAAGTAATAATTGTAGGGCACAGACTGTATATATTGAGTATATCAGAATAAGTTATATCTATACTTAGTTACTTAGTTACAATTATACCCATTATTGGATAATTGAGACTCCATTATCAGAATAATGCAAAGTAATAATTGTAGGGCACAGACTGTATATATTGAGTATATCAGAATAAGTTATATCTATACTTAGTTACTTAGTTACAATTATACCCATTATTGGATAATTGAGACTCCATTATCAGAATAATGCAAAGTAATAATTGTAGGGCACAGACTGTATATATTGAGTATATCAGAATAAGTTATATCTATACTTAGTTACTTAGTTACAATTATACCCATTATTGGATAATTGAGACTCCATTATCAGAATAATGCAAAGTAATAATTGTAGGGCACAGACTGTATATATTGAGTATATCAGAATAAGTTATATCTATACTTAGTTACTTAGTTACAATTATACCCATTATTGGATAATTGAGACTCCATTATCAGAATAATGCAAAGTAATAATTGTAGGGCACAGACTGTATATATTGAGTATATCAGAATAAGTTATATCTATACTTAGTTACTTAGTTACAATTATACCCATTATTGGATAATTGAGACTCCATTATCAGAATAATGCAAAGTAATAATTGTAGGGCACAGACTGTATATATTGAGTATATCAGAATAAGTTATATCTATACTTAGTTACTTAGTTACAATTATACCCATTATTGGATAATTGAGACTCCATTATCAGAATAATGCAAAGTAATAATTGTAGGGCACAGACTGTATATATTGAGTATATCAGAATAAGTTATATCTATACTTAGTTACTTAGTTACAATTATACCCATTATTGGATAATTGAGACTCCATTATCAGAATAATGCAAAGTAATAATTGTAGGGCACAGACTGTATATATTGAGTATATCAGAATAAGTTATATCTATACTTAGTTACTTAGTTACAATTATACCCATTATTGGATAATTGAGACTCCATTATCAGAATAATGCAAAGTAATAATTGTAGGGCACAGACTGTATATATTGAGTATATCAGAATAAGTTATATCTATACTTAGTTACTTAGTTACAATTATACCCATTATTGGATAATTGAGACTCCATTATCAGAATAATGCAAAGTAATAATTGTAGGGCACAGACTGTATATATTGAGTATATCAGAATAAGTTATATCTATACTTAGTTACTTAGTTACAATTATACCCATTATTGGATAATTGAGACTCCATTATCAGAATAATGCAAAGTAATAATTGTAGGGCACAGACTGTATATATTGAGTATATCAGAATAAGTTATATCTATACTTAGTTACTTAGTTACAATTATACCCATTATTGGATAATTGAGACTCCATTATCAGAATAATGCAAAGTAATAATTGTAGGGCACAGACTGTATATATTGAGTATATCAGAATAAGTTATATCTATACTTAGTTACTTAGTTACAATTATACCCATTATTGGATAATTGAGACTCCATTATCAGAATAATGCAAAGTAATAATGGATGGTTATACCCATAATTGAGACTCAATTATCAGAATAATGGGTCGAAGATATATACAAGTTCTACAAGCAGGTTGAGGTACGTTCAATTTTCCCATTTAATGTATGTGTTATCTTATATGTATATGTGTTGTGTTGTTCTAAGAAGAGTGTGTATGTATTGAAACTGTGAAGCTGTAGAATGAGAGCAGAGTTCACGACTATATGGACTCGCAGCCTGAGATAAATGAGAAAATGAGAGCAATTCTGGTGGATTGGTTGATCGAAGTTCACAACAAATTTGAACTCATGCCAGAGACTCTATACCTCACTATCAACATTGTTGATCGCTACCTCGCTTCAAAGTCGGTGATGAGGAGGGAACTCCGATTAGTAGGCATCAGTGCCATGCTCATGGCCTCCAAATATGAAAAAATCTGGGCCGTAGAGGTCAATGACTTTGTGTGCATCTCAGACAGGGCTTATACAAATGAGCAAGTGCTGATTACCGAGAAACGCATACTGAGAGAGCTCAAATGGAGCTTAACAGGTCCTACGCCTTATGTGTTCCTCGCGTGCTTCATCAAAGCCGCTGTTGCTGATCAGCATGTGTTGTATTTTTTGCTCTTTGCTGTTTCAAAATTGTTATGATTGGTGATGATTATTGCTCTACTCTTGAATGCTAATTGTTCATTTTTTTGTTTTGTTTTTTGTACATTTAGATGGAGAACATGGTGTATTTTCTGGCTGAGCTAGGGATAATGAATTATGCCACCATTATATACTGTCCACCAATGCTTGTTGCCTCAGCAGTCTACACTGCCCGTTGCACCATCAACAAAAGCCCTGCTTGGAACGACACACTAAAACTGCACACTGGTTTCTCAGAGACACAACTTATGTAAGTTTTTTCAATCTTCATTTTGTGACTGTTTTAAGAATGAAATTAATATAATTACATGTGTTTCTGATTAATTTGTGTTTATTTATTTATGTTCTAAACAGGGATTGTGCTAAACTACTGGTTAGCTTCCACTTGATGGCCGCAGAAAACAAGTTGAAGGTGATCTATAGGAAATACTCCAATCCCGAGAGAGGCGTCGTTGCCCTGCTCTCGCCGGCCAAAAGTCTATTGGCTGCTGCTACATCATGACTAACAACAACATCAAGCAATTACTGTGTCTTGGATTTTGCTTCTAATAACAGTTGTGGAGCAATTTTTTTTTTTTTAATTTGTTTTTCTTCAATTTTAAATTTGTAGTATTTTTGCTAAAAACTTGAGTACTAATTCAATTCATTTTATTCAATGGGGTGTGTATGTTTTTACTAGAGTATTTTTATGTGCTTTGCAAAATTGGTGGAATTTTGTGTTTAGAAATTGAAAGAAAATTCTAAATGAAAAAATAGGTTGCTTTCTATTAATTTTTTCAAAAAACACAAAAATAAACAATATACTTAACGAATCTTATAATATGCACGGTTTAGCCCAGAAATCCAATCCCCTCCCCACCCCACCCCACCAAACCAAAGCACCATAAAGCCACAACAGGTCTCGAATCCTCAACCACAGTCCAAAAAATCTTACCATTATGTTTTAATAATTTTATTTTGATTTATATTTTAATCTCATTATTAATTTCACCGTGCCTTCAGGTACGGGCATATACTAGTAATAATATATGTCAATTAGGCCAAAAAAACAAAACAAAACAAAAAAATAGAGAGGGCTTTGTGGTGCTGCCGAGAGAGAGAGAGAGCAATCAACAAAGAAATTAGAAAGCGGAGAGACGACGGGAGAGAGGTAGAGAAAAAGATTAAGGTTTTATTTTGGTGGCTCTATTAATTTGTTGTTTTATTTATTTATTTTTATTTATTTGATGTTGGTTTGATTTTATATTTGCATGTAGCTGATGGTTTGATTTTAATTATTTTAGTTAGTTGTGTATGCAATGTTTAGGGTTTTTATATGTATTTATTTTGTGGAAGTAATCACATTCACTCATAGTTATATGAAATTAAAATTAATTAGGAACCCATAGATAAATTCCTTATACTCCACCATGACTCCATAGATTGTTGTTTTATTTGAGTGTTGGTGAAGTGTATTAAAAAAAAAAGGGGGTGAAGATTATGAGATTTATTTGAATGCCTTAGGCTTGGCACCGTTATGTTTATTCTCATGAGTAGATGAGAGATTGTGTATATATATATATATTGTTGTCTCGTTCTTAGGAGTAGACGAGGGCTTTGATTTATGCGTATACGTATATGTTAACCATCCGGGGAGTGTGGGTCAAACTCGGGACGATATCCCCGTGCAAGTTTGGCTTTGGAGTGATGTTATGTATATGGGAGGCACATTGGATATATGTGTAGGCGGGAAGTGGAAGCCGAGGTGGTGGAATTAAGGTACAAAGAATTTAATTATGAGTTTATTGGTATAGTGTGAATTATATTGATTTGTACATGTTGAAAAATAGTAAACAACCTCAATAAATTACAAAATTTGGGTAGAGACATGTATACGTAATTCTAGACAACTTTTGTGTTTTAACTTTTTACTAAAAAGATCGATTAGAACTTGTAATCGGATGATCTTTGTTATAATATTTTTTATTTATTTTAGTATTGCAGATTTTAGATGCTGTTTTAACCCACGAAACGAGCTCATTTTTATTGGTTTCGTGTAAAATAAAGTAAAACATTATTCTGCACACTTTTCGTATTTTAAATTTTTCCGGAAAAAATCATCTTAGGGCAGTTTCTTTTTGTTTTCAGCTTCAGATTTTTCGGTTAAATTCCGTCTAGGTTCTTGATCTAGTTTTCCTCTCAACCTGTTTAGGTTATACTAAATTCGTTCGCATTGCCTTTTAGGAAATTTGATTCTGTACAACTTTTATTCTTTGAGTTTTAGTCAATTCGAATTATTTAAGCATAAAACGGTGTATTTTTATACTTCTTCAGCAAGTTACTTATGATTAAATTATCCTAACTTTATTGTTATTATTTTTTTTTGTAGAATGGTGAGTCTTATTAACTTTTTATATAGGGTTGACCCACCACTACTAGAAAAAGGGAGCTTTAGCCATAGAACTTTTTGCGATGGTTTAAAAATTGTCGCAAAAAGCAAGTATTTGCAATGGCAAATGAAGCTGTTGCGAAATTTTTTGTGACGGACTGATTTCCGTTGCAAAAGCTACACATTTGAGATGGATAAAATAATTCGTCGCTAATAGTATTTGTTGAGACAGAAAATGACTGCCGCTAATAAATGAGCAAAAAGACGTCATCATTAGCGACGGAAACAAATTGTCCGTCGCAAAAGGGTCCATCAGTTGTAACAGATACTAAACCGTGGCAAAAGAAAATAATTAAAATGACATAGTTTTATGTTTTCGTGCATCTGTCTGTCCATCGCAGATAATACAAGCCCAAACTCCCCTTATTTCATTCTTACGCTATATCTGTTCCTCTCATTGGCGTCGCCTCACTCCGCCGTCCTCCCACCGGTGTCACCCCACTCTGCCATCCTCTGATGCCGTCGTCTTCCCACCGACGATCATTCAAGAAGAAAGTGCAGCAAAGCCCGATCAGAGCTATCTAAGGTTCTCTCTCTCTCTCTCTCTCTCTCTCTATTTATGAAAAGATCATACAGATTTCTGTATTTTTTCTGTTTGATTTAGTTTGATCTTTCACATTTGGAGATCAGGTCTTTTCTTATTCCATTCGATTTGATTTGTTGAATCCTGAATTTTATTTTATTTTGAATAGTTCAATAATTACTAGTTTTCTTTTTTGGAACCCCAGATCCTTGTTGTTGAAGCCCTAGGTCAGCGAATCTCTGTTCTGAATCAAGTTCCTTCAATTTGTTCTCAATCGACAGTCGACGATCTTCTGGAGGTGCGAATTGCAAATCTCTCTCTCTCTCATAACGAATAGAGCTATGTTCCCAATCTCTGTTATTGTACATTTTCGATGTCATCGAAGATGCTTTCAAGATCACACTGATTATCTGTGCGTGAGGTGAGTTCTCGTTGATTCATTCAAATTTGTTCGATTTTTATCATTTTGATTGTTGTTAAGAGTGTCATTTTAATTTGTATTTTGGTCGATTGACGCTTATTTTATATTAATCTATAAATCTGGAGTATTCTTGTTCTGTTTCTTTAGGTTTTGTAAGTTGATTTTGTATGCATGTTTTTTCAAGTGTTTGGTATAGAACACAAAAATTTCTAGGGTTTTGATTTTGGTTTTTTAATTTGTATAATTTTGAGTTTTGAAAGCTGTTAATTGATGAAGCTAGGGTTGGGTGGATGTTAATAGAGAAGGTGCATTGGTACTTACACAACTATGGCTTTAGTTTTCTAGTTTGAACAAGACTTTTTGACTGGAAAAAAAAAGCCCTAAGGAAGTACATGTGGGTTTTCACTCTATGTTGGTTTGCTTTGACTTCACGCACTAGCATTTTATAATCTCCACCTCTACTTTTATTTTTGGAATGGCTGGAAAAAAAAAGCCCTAAGGAAGTACATGTGGGTTTTCACTCTATGTTGGTTTGCTTTGACTTCACGCACTAGCATTTTATAATCTCCACCTCTACTTTTATTTTTGGGGAGCCATTCCAGAACAAAATTTGGATAGTTATAGTAATATCCAGATTATCTCCACCTATTCTTTTTTGAATTCATTCCAAACAAACATTGGGTGGTTATATGTATATACACTGACTATACTATAACCTTTCATTAAAAGCAAATGAAAAACTAACTAGTCAGGCTTATGCTTGGTTAGAAAAGTGTTCATGAAAATATTTTTTGACAAAAAAAAGAAAAGAAATAACTTTTCTTTTCTTTTTTTCTTTCTGTTTTTTGGGTTAATTGTTCAATTTATAAGAAAATTTACATACAAAAATTATTTAAATCTTCCCTTGATTATTACCTATACTTCTCACGAAAAGGATTCGAGAAAAGTTTTTTTCAAAGAAATTATTACGGTGAGACCCACATTTTTTTGGGGATGCAAAGAAGAAAAACAATCCCATCAATTTAACCCAACCTACTTGTCCTGGATAAAATACAACCCCTGTCTTCATCTGAAAAATTGTTCCACTTTTTAGTTTGAAATTCATGTTGAAATTTTTTGCTAAGTATCTAAATTGAATTTATTCTGATGCGAAGGAATTTCTGAATTGTAATATCTGATTGGCCAAGGGAAGGGGATTAAAATTTATACCTCTCTTTCATGTTGTCTTCTAAGCATAAAACACAGATGTTCATCTATAAAATGTTAAAAAAGGAGCCACAAATTTTAGTTCTTGTGTAAAGCACGCTTATGAAAAAGGGTTTATTGTATGAGGTTTGAATTCCATGCCCATTTTCTTTACCTCTTCCCCCAAACAATCAATTCTTTACTAAAACCTTCACTATTTATATATTCTTTTCTTCTCTTTTAAGATTAGGGATCTGTGTTGTGATATATTTTGTATAAATGGTTTTGTGTTTCTTTTTGCATTTATTCCTACATAATCTATGTTGTCCTGATATCTACATATTAAGGGTTGTCTTAGAAGTGTTGACCACTGGTCCAATATTAAAAGTCTGTATTATTCTAAACACATTGAGAGCTTATGGGGCACATGTTGAATTGTTCAAGCCTATATGTGTTTGACTCATACCATCATGGTGTAGCTTTCATATAACCAACACTTGACTTACTTCCTAACCTCAACCCCCCAAAAGAAAATCATAAATACTATAATAAGGTTGTATCTGATCATCGATTGAACTAAGGTTGCTGAATTTAAAATTTTCAGCTGTGGACTTCTTCACCCAGGTGAACTTGCTGTATGGTACCCTCACAAACTTCTGCACTCCAGAAAACTGTCCTACAATGACTGCAGGCCCCAAGTACGTCTTAGTAATCATCTGCTTTATTTCAACCTTACAGAAAATCAGTTTTGGACATTCAGATTGAAGGAAATAAATTATTGAATATTTACTTCTGTATGTCTTACACAAGTTCAACTACCACTATTATGTTATCAATGAGGCCTTTCATGCATTTTAAGTTCTGTAATTTGTTTCCCTATGTTTTCATCATATGGTTACAATGTTTTATTTTGCGATACCAAAACCATACCTTCTAGACTCGCAGGAAAAATGGTCTTTCCTAAGTAGAAAACACTGATTCGGTGCACAATACTTCATTTGCCACTATGCCTTTTTTCAAGAACTTGATCTTGGTTGCCGAAAGTTTGAAAAGTTACAAAAAAGAGTTTTCTTTGGGTGGAGACGAGAATAAATTCAAGCACCAATTTTTTAAATTTTTTTATTTTTTATAAGCATGTTTGAAGCTTCAATTTTATTGAATGGGAAGCAATATCTTTGCCTCAAGAAGATTGGTATATTGGGTAGCAATTTTTTTTTATAGATTTGTTTCGGTGAGTGGTAGAAAAATTTAAGTTTAGGTAGAAACTTCATGGGCCTTTTTGAAAGCAATAAAAAATGATGTGTTTTATGGAAGAGGTTTGGTTTAAAGTGAGAATAGGGATGTTTGTAGCTAAAGCTGCTCCAGCATAGTGGTGAAGGTCCCTTTAATGGAGGCATTTCCACACCTTTTCAAGGTTTCATTGACCATAGAAGAGTTGGTGAAGAATCTGAAGATGAAGGGGAAAACATGAGCTGGAATATGGTTTTTTGAGGACTTTGCATGATTAGGAATCATGAAAAAAAATATTGTTTTTTTTCAGAAACTATCTGAGTCCATGACATCCCAAGGAAACAATGAAAAAAGTGAAAATGTAAAGGTCATATTCTCTTGTTTCAGACAGTTTCTTTGTTTTCTAATTGTTATCTAGAAAACACAACATTAAGCCTTGAGCCTTGAACCTTCATGGGCATGGAGAACCTTATTCTACTTTTCCATGATTTCTTGAACAACTTAGTGTGCCAATTGAATGGTTACCAACATTGCACAGTTCTATATATTTCCAGTTCCTGATTTGCAGGTATGAGCACAGATGGGCAGATGGTGTACAAATCAAGAAACCAATTGAAGTTTCAGCTCCAAAATATGTTGAATATTTGATGGACTAGATTGAAGGTCAATTAGATGATGAATCCATATTTCCTCAAAGGACTGGTAATAAATGCCTCACATTATGTTCTGATATTTGCCCGGTTTGTATGTTGAACAAAATTGTTGATATTTGTATTTTGCCCAGTTGGGGGTTTGTTATGTTCCCTTCAGAGCTTATGCTTATTCTTTATTCTAAATTTTGTAGGTGCTCCTTTTCCTCTGAACTTCAGGGAAGTAGTGAAAACTATATTCAAACGCCTGTTCCACGTTTATGCTCATATTTACCACTCTCACTTCCAGAAGATCGTAAGTCTTAAAGAGGAGGCCCATCTAAATACTTGCTTCAAACATTTTATACTATTTACCTGTGTGAGTGTGCTTCAAATCTTGAGACAATTTTGTGTTCTTTGTTCACTTTCCAGGATACTCTTTTTTAAATTTTCCGTCTTCCTATACCATTGGCTTGAACTTTGTTTCTGCTTAAATATTATGGTTTTCATTTTTTTTTTTTTAGATTGGCAATACTGAACATCATCATTTCTCTATTATCTGCAAAACTCTTTTGCTCTTGTTCTGTGATATCAAGATTTTTACTTACTTTGTTGGTGTTACAGTTTTCTGTAACTTAAATTTCTGTTCTATAATGATCCTATCCTAGCGATGGATTTGTGCCTCATATAAGGCTTTATATGACATCCAAACTTGTGGCCTGACATAAAGATTACTGATTTGCACTTTTTACCATGGTTCTTGCATTGAAAGTTTCATTGATTGCATACATACATACCAATCATGATCGTATCTGTCTCTCCAACACAGTTGCCCTAGGTTCAAACAGTTCCTGTTGATCCTTGTCATGGTTTTAAATAAAAGTATCAGGATAGATATTGATATTAGCGAAGCAGTTATTATCGGCCATTTGAGGACAAATAAAGGTTACCTGTAATCATAGTTGTCAAATCGAGATTCGTATCGTGAATCGAAATGATCTTGTACCGAATCGCGAATCGAATCGAATCGTGAATCGTAAAGATTCGGTCACTTTTTTAAAATTACTTAAAAATATATATTTACACATTTAGATGTTAAATATATCTTATGAATATGAAATATTTAGACTTAAATCAATGAAAATGTTATTTTGCGTGATAATCACATAGTTTAATAGGTAAGAAGTTAACAAAGATTCTTATGTAAGATCACTATCTTACTTAAGATCACTATCTTACTTTTTTTCTTTTTAGATATTTTTTATCAACCATTCTTAATAAAGATAATAACCAAATAGACAAATTATCAATTTCCAAAATAACAATAATTAATAACGATATTGATATTTGGACAATAAACATACGTACTTTTCTAAGTAACAGTGAGCAAATAATAAGAAAGAATTATTTAGAATATTTTATTTTAAAGCCTAAAACATTTTCAAAGGTATAACAGACCTCACATATGTAATATTCAATTATATTCAATTTAATAAAATAGTAATAGATAATTCATATTGTAACTTTAATCTTACACATCTTTAGAAGATATATTATGAATTTTTAAAGGGAAAAAAAAATGAGAAGAAAGGTTAAAAATATGTTGGGTCTGACTGAATCTGATTGGATTCTATTAAAAATTTCATGATCACTAAAATAACAACAAATTATGTATATATGTTGGTTATTTTAGTATTAAACGCTATTAAAAGTTGTATTATGTCATTTTCACTAAAAACATGGAAAAAAAAATAGTCGAAAATATGCCGGACACAATAATTTAAAAAATTACATGAATCATAAAAAGTGAATTGAATCGTAAATCGATTGTGAATCGTGCGATTCACTAGAGATTTACTTCCAAAATAGATTCACCCATAGATTCGTATCGATTTTGCAAAAAAATTGAATCGAATCGCGAATCGTAAGATTTTGATAAAAAAGAGATTCACTTATAGATTCGTATCGATTTTGCAAAAATTGTGAATCGAATCGTGAATCGAATCGCGAATCGTAAGATTCTGATAACAGAGCCTGTAATGATTAGAAGATACATCCTGATAAAAATAAGATATAATCCTATTTCTAACCATTTGCAATTTATCTCTATGCCTCAGTTACATGGTTCTAGTTAGTTATTTTTAACCATGTGAGGAACTATGCTTTTAATTTTTGGAAGAACAAGGGATTGGAGGAGGTACTGTCTACTACCACCGGTTTTATATTTTTCTTATTTGATTGTGTGGAAAGTAATACTAATGTTGTTGAGGATGGACCCTGGTTTTTTGGGGGGCACTTTCTTGTACTGAAAAAGTGGCACAATATGATGAAATTATCTGAGGAGAGGCTTGATAGAATTCTGATTTGGATTAAGTTGTTTAACATTCCTTTAGAATATTGGGATGATGATGGGCTTAGTAGGATTGCTAGTGCTAGAATTTCATTTGCTAAAACATGTATGGAAATAGGATTGGATTCTTCTCTTCCTACTGATTTTCTAATCAAATGTGAAGATCAGGGTGTTGAGCTTGGGGTTGAATACCTGTGGACTCCATCCAAGTACTCAAAATGTAAAGTCTTTGGGTATATGGAAGACAAATGCATCAAAAAGTGGAGAATTTGTCCAAAGAAAAACAGCAAAATGTGAACCAAGAAAGGGAAGAAGACTAGAGGCTTAATGTTACTCGAGGTAAAAGGAAAATGGGAGACCCTCTTGAGGTGGCTGTTATAGCTACTGCAGAATCTGAAGTGGTAAGTCATACAGAGGTGGCTGGTATGGGTGCTGCAGAAGCTAGAGGGTGTAATCCTGTGGAGAAGAGCTATCAGAAAGAGGAGGTCCAAGCCCAGGTTAGGACTGTGGTGGTCCATGAGCAGGACATCCAGACTGGAGAAAGTGCATACTGAGCCTACTTGTACATGACCCTGGACAGGTTGAGCCTGGTTTGAGTCAGTTAACAGTGAAGCAGGCTCCAAAGCCAGCTAAGAAATCTGATGAACCTACACTGAAGTTGGCTAATGTTTTTTTTTTTTTTTTTTTTGTGAATTTGTTAGCTAACTGTGGCAGGTTTGGCTGGTACATTGTAGGGAAGATGGTTGAGTGATGGGAGTCCTAAAATAAGTTAGTGAGTGAGATAGTGCGTTTCTTTGAGGGTTGAGTATGTGAGCCCTCAAATTTCTTTCTAACTGTTTGTTCATGCAGGTCCTAAGTTGTCATTAGGCATTCTACAAGGCATCAGAGCAAAGATTTGACAGTGATCCTGAATTCAAGGAGAGGGCACAACAAGCGGTGGTCAGTCTCCAGGTGAATCATTTACCTTTATGCCTTAAAGACCTGTGAGATTGATTATAGTAATAATTAAATTTCTCATTTGTAAAAAAACTTAAAAGCTATAAATTTCAATTTTCTATTTTGGAGGAAATCTGATTTATAAACTATAAATTTTGTTTCTTTATTTTGGAAGAAAGTCTGGTTAATGATTTTATCTCAAGGTTTCATCATGTCTCATCATTTATCTTATTTGTTTTCATTTCCTATGGCATAACTTGTATCACAGGGTGGGGAAGAGAAGTATCGGAAGGCATGGGCACAAATCTGTGAAATCAGCCGAAGGGGGTATCAAAGAGTTTATCAACGTCTAGGAATTAAGATAGAGGAGAAGGTAGTTAACTAATATTTTTCTTTCTAACTAATGACAATGTCAAACATTGATTGTGTTTTCCACACAAGTTTTCTGCACCATGGGGCCACTTAAAAAAGACACCAACTTTTGATTTCAATCTATAGTGTGCATGCTAAAAACAGAACATTCTTGGTTTATGGTTCACAGCCCCCTGCCCCACCAAGTGTTTGTTTCATCCAATTTAAATGTATCTGCCTCAAGTCATTATCACTTTATATTTGACTCATGTTATCAGGTTGGCCATTTTGTATGACTACTTGAATTGATGCTACATTGATATATAAGATCACAATTCTACAAACTTAAAACATTGTTATTTCATCACCTTAGTTATTGTATAGCCGTAATAAGTAACAGATTACTTTAAATTAATGGGCACAAGAACTGTGGCAAGACTAGACTATGAATCTTAGTTGAATTATGTTATTGCATATGCAATGAGGACATTAGTATGGTACAGGCTTATAGTATGGGAGGCCAGAGGCCCATAAATGTAATTTATCATTGTTTATTGTTTTTCATTTTGGACTCAAGCAAATTACTTAATTCAATAGAACTAGTATTTTATATGCTAGTTTCGATCAGGAAAATTGAAATTAAAGATATAGATAGATGATGGGTGATGGGTTTGAGGTGCCATTTAGTGTTTTAGATGATGATTCTTTTACAATGGATTCTGAACAATTGTAAAATTGAAACTTTATAGAATATGTTATACATAATTTTATTTATTTATTTATAATTAATGGATTCTCTTTATCAACGTCTAGGAATTAAGATAGAGGAGAAGGTAGTTAACTAATATTTTTCTTTCTAACTAATGACAATGTCAAACATTGATTGTGTTTTCCACACAAGTTTTCTGCACCATGGGGCCACTTAAAAAAGACACCAACTTTTGATTTCAATCTATAGTGTGCATGCTAAAAACAGAACATTCTTGGTTTATGGTTCACAGCCCCCTGCCCACCAAGTGTTTGTTTCATCCAATTTAAATGTATCTGCTTCAAGTCATTATCACTTTATATTTGACTCATGTTATCAGGTTGGCCATTTTGTATGACTACTTGAATTGATGCTAGATTGATATATAAGATCACAATTCTACAAACTTAAAACATTGTTATTTCATCACCTTAGTTATTGCATAGCCGTAATAAGTAACAGATTACTTTAAATTAATGGGCACAAGAACTGTGGCAAGACTAGACTATGAATCTTAATTGAATTATGTTATTGCATATGCAATGAGGACATTAGTATGGTACAGGATTATAGTATGGGAGGCCAGAGGCCCATAAATGTAATTTATCATTGTTTATTCTTTTTCATTTTGGACTCAAGCAAATTACTTAATTCAATAGAACTAGTATTTTATATGCTAGTTTCGATCAGGAAAATTGAAATTAAAGATATAGATAGATGATGGGTGATGGGTTTGAGGTGCCATTTAGTGTTTTAGATGATGATTCTTTTACAATGGATTCTGAACAATTGTAAAATTGAAACTTTATAGAATATGCTATACATAATTTTATTATTTATTTATAATTAATGGTTTCTCATTCTTGAATGGTAGATGTGTAAGGAGTGAGGGATGCATCAGAACATGTTCAGGCTAGAGTGACTAAGTTGGTTAATTTCGATTTGTGGTTATGTTAGCGGTAAAATGTCTCATCAGTATGAAGTCAAAAGTTTTGTGTTTGCCCGGTAATAGTCTTTGACATTGAGAAATTCTTTTGCTTCACGTCTGAAATTCTTCTGAGAAATTCTCTTACAGTGCACCCCAATGGCATATATCTATATATTTAATGTTTTTTTGATAGAGAAATGCTATTTATCACCAGATTTTTATTTCACTTCCCATGTTGATATTGCAGCTTACAATCTTTTTTGTATTTATTTATTTATTGAAATAATATCAAATGTTTTACATTTTCTAAGATTGAAATTAATTATATTGTAAATGATGTCTTTTTTTGTGTTTCTTTTTGCAGATGCAACCCATTTTGAGTACGTGATGATATCTGTTGGAGTTTACTGTTGTCAGTTGATATAAAAACAAACTATGATATATATGTTTTTTTTTATTTGTATTGTCAATACTTTTGTTTTGCTTTAGATACAAAAATTTAAGTTCTTGAATATAAAAAATTATTAGTATTGTTGGAGGATGTTTTATATATTTTTGTAAAGAATATTTGGTAGATAATTGTTACAGGGTACATATATATAGATGATTTTGTGAATATGAATGTGAATGTAAATGTGAATGTGAATGTGAATGTGTGTGGATGTGGATGTGGATGTGAATATATTTTATTTTAGAAAATATTAATAATTTGTATAGGGAATGAATTAATTAAATATATATTGATTTTATGAAAATAATTTTATTGCGACAGTAATAACCGTCGCTAATGTAATTATCATTTCCTTATATATTTTTAGTAACGGGTTAACCTATAGCATATACATATTAGTTCAAATCTTTAGCGACGGTTTAAACTGTCGCAAATATGGCATTAATTTAATTCTACTTTTTTGTGACGTTTTAGACCGTCGCTAATAATACTTTTTGTGACAGTTTAAACTTTCGCAAATGCGATATTAATTTAATTCTATTTTTTTGTGACGTTTTAGACCGTTGCTAATAATACTTTTCGCGAAATCAAATACCGTCGCGAAAAAATTTTTGGCGACAACAACCAATATCGTCACAGAAAGTGAAAGTTTTTTTTCCCTTTTTTTGTGTTAGGTTAAACCATCACAAAAACCATTGATTAGCCGTAGCTAAAAGAAAGCGACGGTCGCAAATACTTGTCACGCCCCTTTCCGCCACCTCTCATTTCCCGTCGCTAATCCATCGTAAAAAGTCTTTTGCGACGCTATGTGAACCTTTTGCGACATTTAAGACCGTCACAAAAGCTCCAGTTTTTAGTAGTGCACCATATTTTTATTTTTATTTGGTTTATTTTATACTCAATTTATCTTTAATTGTGTACGGGTAAGAAATTAAATGCCACCATATCTTAGGAAACTACCCCTTCGTCTCGATGCAAGTGGAACTACTTGTCTTGTCCTGTAACAAGAATTAAATGTAATTTTGTTTGTGTCTGGTGAACACGTGGGTGTCAAATCTTGTACTTATACCAGTATACTTGTATACTAACCTGTTGTCTCTTGACATCTCGGGTGTGTTCTATTTGAGTGCCACCGAGCTTCCTTTACAAGATTAGTTGGAGCTACGGTGGAATAACTATAGTTGTTAGACATGTCTTTCGGACTTTTTTTGTTTTTTGGAGTTTAAGATTGATATTATTTTATTTATTTATTTATTTATTTTATGACCTTAGTATTTTGACAATTTGACATTGTGGGTTATTTTTTTTACTTTACATTATTTAAATGGTTTTGGCTAGTTGTTGTTACTTTAATGTTAAAGGTATTGAATAGTTATGAAATTATGGTGGATAGTTTGGTTGGCATTTTGTTAGTGTTTTTTTTTTTTTTTAATCTTTTGTTATCTTTTGATCATGAAAATTTACTTAAACCTTATAGAGACAAGAATATTTAGATTTTGTTTCACCCCTAGTGGAATATTGATTGGGTTTAGTCCTAATTTAATATTTAATTATCCAAATTTTGGAGTGTGACATTAATTTTTAGAGTCACGAGGTTTGTAATTTATTTGGGAGTTATAAGCTATTAAATGAATTTATTATTTTTACAGTTTCTTTATATTATTTGTTGTGTATTTTGGATGTGGTTTCTGCTAACTTTCTTTACAAGAATACCTTTGCGAAAGAGAATAGGAAAAAAATAAAAATAAAAATAAAAATCCAAATGAATAAAGTTTGGGATTGTAAGGGTGAAAAAAAATAATTAGACTACTAACCTTTTGTGTTGAATAGAAGTACCTAAGCGCGGAAAGGAATTTTTTGGACTATGTTTGAAGCATTTGTTTGCTTGAGTTTTAATTGTGGTTATTTACCAATGTGTTTAAGCAAGTTTTCTTTGCTTGTATTGTTGTAGCAATTTTTTACATTAATTGTAATTTAGTTAGCAATTTTTCAAATTGCTTGTAAGTTTGGAACTTGGTGTGTTTTAACCTAGTTCAGCCCTGGAAAACTTAATTCTGAAAATTGTTTCCTATGGACTAGGAGTCAACATGCTCTTACAAGTTTTGTCTAAGGTTAACTGGGTTTTAGTGGGACTGTTATGACCCCTCTAGTCTTCTTGGAAACTTTCCTGACCATGTTCGATTCTAGGGAAACGGTAAGACTGGTTTTGAATTAAATTTTCAACTTTGGGATTTTCTAGTGTTAAGTTTAATTTCTGAAAATGCAGAATAGTGAAATTTTGTTGTATTTTTCAGAAATGACAATTATTACCGATGTTGCTGCTAATGTTGGTGGGGATCAAAACCCTGGGGCAACTAGCTTGCCAATCCTTGTTGCTGTGACCTCTGTGGTCAACTCGATTACTGTGACCTCTGCGATCAACCTTGTTGTTGCTCCTGCTGTTCCAAGAGGCCCGCTCAACTATCATAAGTGCTCGGAGAAGTTCATGGGAGTGAATTTCAAGAGGTGGCAGCAAAAAATGCTGTTCTACCTGACTACTCTAAGCCTTACGAGGTTTTTGAGTGAGGATCCACCAGCCATGGAAGAGAATAAGCAAGATAAGCAGAAGCTCATAGGTTTAGATACTTAGAAGCAGTCAGACTTCCTTTGTCGGAATTATGTTCTGAATGGCTTGGCAGATTCATTTTTCAATGTGTTTTATGCCAAGAAGTCGGCAAATGAGCTATGGGATGCTTTGGACAAGAAGTACAAGACTGAGGATGCCGGGGCAAAGAAATTTGTCGTTGGCTAATTTTTGGACTTCAAAATGGTGGACTCTAAAACCATCATCAGTCAAGTCCAAGAATTCTAAGTAATTTTGCACGAGATTCATGCAGAGGGAATGTTCCTAAGTGAATCATTCCAGGCAGCTGCATTGATTAAGAAGTTTCCTAACGATTAGAAAAACTTCAAGAACTACTTGAAGCACAAGCGAAAAGAGATGACAATCAAAGAGCTCGTTGTCAGGCTTTGGATTGAGGAAGACAACAGGAGAAAAGAGGGGAATACCTCCACTATGAAAGTAAACGTGGTTGGGCATGGCCAGTCCTCGGGAGTAAAGAAAAAGCCACCAACAGGTAAAAGCTCGAAGCTGGGTGTTACGACCCAAACCCGCCCCTATAGGTTTATCGTCGTAACCGGCTAGTAAACCTTGGATTACCAAAGGCCTCTTGACATGATAGCGTATAGTTAGGGGCTGCGGAAGCAAAAATGCAGAATAGATACAGTCTATTGAGCAGTGCCAACATACATGGAAGAGATAACTTAAAACTTCTTTTATAACAGAGACTTAAAACTTCTTTTATAATAGAGATACAATATTTACATACCACTTCAAGTACATGCTACCAGACATCTTGTCCAAAACTTAACAAACAAACAAAGTCTAAATGATTATACAAAACAGCCACAAATTTTGACTTCAATCAGAACCTCCTCAAGAGGCACAAGGGTGGGCTGACAAAAAGGGAACGTAGGCCGTCAACTTCGGGCTTGGTCACTTGCTTGCTTACCTACATACATAATATAAATCATGAGCCAAAGCCTAGTGAATAATAATAGAGTAAGGGGGTTTAATGAATGTCGTCCATAACAGTTACAGAAAACAGAATTCATTAGTTGTCAGAAATGGATTCATAATCATGTTCAGAAATCATAGTTCATAACAGATACAGATTCAGAATCATATTCATAATCAGAATTTGCAGTTAATCAACATTCATTAGCACTAGCAGAAACGGTTGACCCATAAAGGAACGGTCATAAAGGCATATAATTGACCCATAAAGGGATAGCCATAAAGGCATATAGTTGACTCACGTGCACGGAGACGGTACAGTTGGCTCATGAGACGTACAGTTGACCCATAAATGAGACGTATACATAAGGATCCATAACAATTGGCTCATGAGACGTAAAGTTGACCCATAATTGGGACGTAACATAACAGATAACAGATGCTATATAAAGCTAAGAATGCCACAAATACCTTTCAGAAATATTGGACAACCATTCATTCATACAGAAATAATATTTCAGGAAATAGATCATCTTATATCATTCGGAAAATACTTATAAATTGAACATAGCTTTACAAAGTTATTACTGACTGTTGGCTTCGGGTGCAGACAAACAGAGCAGATTAATCGAATGGTTTAAGGCACGCGACCTACATGAATACACACACAAATACACACTTGAAATACACATTCGAATTGTACATAACTTACTTTATTTGTTCTTAGCATGTTTCTAGCCTTTAACCTCATTATGGAGTCTTAATCATGGCCTAGGAATGCCTAGGATGGAATGAGGATATAAAAATGCACTTGAAAACATTTTCCAAAACTTGCTGAAAACAGGGGTCTCACTCGAGTGACTAGCATACCGAATGTGAGTAGTCGCTCGAGCGTAGACTTTTTCGCTCAAGCGGTCTGCAAAAATGTGAAAAGTTTTGGTTGCATGAAATCTCTGCTCGACGCTCGCTCGAGCGTGAGACACAGTTCTTCGCTCGAGCACAACTCTCGTCGCTCGAGCGTGCTTCCAGATGCACCAACACCTGAGAGCATGCAATTTATGCTCTAGCCAACCTTTTGTCGCTTGAGCGAAATCATGAAAATAAAGACGGTCGCTCGAGGGCAGGATCCTTCGCTCGAGCGTGGAAGCTAAATTCTGGGTTTTCCAGATTTGCTCCCAAGCTTCAAAACATGAATTCAACTCTTCAAAACACACCTCTTGGGCACCAAAACTTGAGACAAAATAGTAAACTTGTAAAATACGATGAATTGAAGATTATTTCATAAAATCAAGGCTCAAAAGTATGCCAATTGTACATAAATTCAACTTTAACTTTGTAAATGTTTGAAGAACACAACATGCATGAATTTTTCTTGAATCCAACCTCTCCAAAACATGATCAAACTTGGCAATTTAATGGACAACATGATGAATTCTCAAAACATAGATGAGATGAACACATGCATAGGAGAATTCTTTGAAATCATGCTCAATTTATGAAGAAATGCGCATGCATGCATGGATTGATCTTCCTCCCTACTCCTTAAGCTTGATTCTTACATCTCATAGTTCAATTTACTTGAATTCATGTATGAATTAACTCAATTTCA